AAGACTTGAGAGTGAAAGTGAAAAGTAAATCCCCTAGTGAGAGGAAAATAAGTGTGAAAAGTGAGGTTCTTGAGCAAGTGAGGAAGCTTTGAGTAGAGGGTGGGGGGGGGGGTGATGAGTCTTTGCCCTTGTATGCATAGGTTGCTTTTTACCTTTAGCATTCTGCCAAAGTTTGATCATTCATAGAGAGATCCCTTTGCTGCATTAAACCCACTTGAACACTGATGAGATCATTTTGATCTCATAGCCTCTCCCTAGCCAAGCCAGCTTGTTTAAACATTGCATCATGAGATTCACCTGATAAAAGCTTAATGAATGTGAAAGAGTTGAGAGAGAGAAGAACTTGTGGAGATTCCTTGCTGAGGTGATATATATCTGAGTATGGCTTTGCATTGCATACTTGAGCATGAACTTGAATTCTCATTGTGATCACTTCTCTCAAAAAGGAAATGTGAACTCCTAATGCATACAAACTCTTTCTCTCATTTGCTCTTTTTGCTTGAGGACAAGCAAAGGACAACTGTGGGGGAGTTGATATGTTCATAATTTGCATCATTTAGGTTGCATATTTCATTCTTAAATCATGCTTTATTTCATGCATTTTAGGTCCTTAGGGTTTGTTTTAGAACTTAGGAGATGCATTAGGTCCCAATGAGTCTTTGCATGTTTTGAGTGTTTATCAGGTGCATTTGGAGCTATTTGGAGCTGGAAAGATGAATCCAAGAGGTGGAATGGTGGTTAAGGCTTGAAAAATGGAGAAACTGAATCTTTGGAGGTTATCGGCCATTCTCGCGTATCAGGAAGGTTTTTATCGGCCATTTTTATGTACCGCGGGTAGACTTTATCGGCCATTTTCACGTACCGCGAGTGAATTGTATCGGCCAAAATCTCCGGGTGCAGACACGTTTCTGAAATCGCTTGTCCGGGGAACCTTCCGGTCCGATTCAGTTGTCGGGTGCTTCATAGAAGTTGGAGACGATTGGATAACGGTTCCATATCAAGTAGAATCATGGAATTCGGACGTGTGAGCAGGAAGTTAAGCTCGTCGAAAGGAACCCCTGTCTCGCTACTGTTCTAGACCAAGCCGTTGAGTTCTGAAGAATGCGAAGGACGGTGCACTTCCAGGCCCATTCAGTTTCCGGAGCCTTCATGAGAATCAGAGACATTTGAGTCCTCTTTCCAGAACATCCAAGGTCATTCAATTCGGAGCTTTGAGCAGAAAGATACGGTCTCCGGAATGGGCACATGTATAGACGTCTCTCTCTGATCGTGTAAATGCACTGCAAAGATGAGCCCTCCAGGAAGCCTTACACTTCCCAAGCACCGAATCTTCCTTCACCACAGTTGGAGTTAAATGAGTCCTCTGTCTTCTGCAACCGGAATCACTCAATTCTGACAAGTATAGCGTGAGTTACACTCTCCGGAATGCAAAGTGGTCCAGACAGCCCTGAATGACTAAGTTAAACATGCCGCGATGGAATGCCACGGTCCACACTTGGCCGTGGCAACTTTTGCAAATCTTCGGCGATTGGCACGATCTTCATTATACGGTCTACACTTGACCGTGGCAAACAGACAATTGGCTGAGAGGAACTTTTACACAACATCGGGTTTTGACACGGTTTGAATGCCACGGTCTGGGACTTGACCGTGGCAAACAAATACCAGGCTGGAAAGGACTTTACGAGCATGCAGGTTTTGACACGGTCTGAATGACACGGTCTGGGGCTTGACCGTGGCAACTTCTACACATCTTCGGCGTTTGACACGATGACTTGCCACGGGGTTTGGACGAGGCTTGTTAGACCGTGGCATCAAAATGCAGCTAAGAACACGCGAGAGAGCTTTGACACGGTCAGGTTGCCACGGCCACACCAAGAACACACTTGACCGTGGCAAACCCATCTTCACCCACCAAGACCGGGTCAGTACCCGGTTTGTTCCGGGTTGACCCGGTTCGCCCAAGACACCTATATATTGTTTTTAGACCTAATTTGGAGAAGACCTTTTATCCATTTTTAGTCTCCTTTCCCCTTTTGTGAAAAACTACTTGATACACTTTGTTTTTAGAGTTTAATATCGATTTGAAGTTTCTTTTCATCTTGTTCCATCATTTCTTATCATCAAATCACACTTCTAATCATGATTAACAACACATCTTGCAAAGGATCTAGTGTGTTGATCATGATTAGTGAGTAAATCCTATATTAAGGTCTTAGATATGTGTTGATCTAGTGTGTTGATCTAGTGACTTGCCACGGGGTTTGGACGAGGCTTGTTATACCGTGGCATCAAAATGCAGCCAAGAACACGCGAGAGAGCTTTGACACGATCAGGTTGCCACGGCCACACCAAGAACACACTTGACCGTGGCAAACCCATCTTCACCCACCAAGACCGGGTCAGTACCCGGTTTGTTCCGGGTTGACCCGGTTCGCCCAAGACACCTATATATTGTTTTTAGACCTAATTTGGAGAAGACCTTTTATCCATTTTTAGTCTCCTTTCCCCTTTTGTGAAAAACTACTTGATACACTTTGTTTTTAGAGTTTAATATCGATTTGAAGTTTCTTTTCATCTTGTTCCATCATTTCTTATCATCAAATCACACTTTTAATCATGATTAACAACACATCTTGCAAAGAATCTAGTGTGTTGATTATGATTAGTGAGTTAATCCCATATTAAGGTCTTAGATATGTAGATTAGGGTGCTTAGGTGGTAGATTAGTGAGCTTAGGGGTTAGATCATGCATGTTCCTTTCTCTACAACTTGTTCTCTATGCTAGATCCATACAAATCATATGTGGTCTAGATTCTGGGCATTTCATGCACCAAAAGTGTTTGATGAAATGCTTGAACCAAAGTTGTTAGAGGTTTAAGTGTTATTCATCATGGGAATGATTGCTTATATGCTTAAATGACAGAATAAACTGATTCTTAATGCTTGTTAACTCATGTTTCACTGATGATGATTGGGTTAGAAACTGTTTTAGCATAGGAGTTAATACCTTCATGAGAGGATTAACTTAATTAAAGATGTTTATGTTGAATGGTTTGCTTGACCATATGATTCATTAGCTCATTAGTTTATCACTGAAGGCACCCTAATCCACTATCATGGCTAAGACCTTTCTCATCATCATTCCCATCATTTGTCATTGTTTAGTTCTTGTTTAATCATTTCATTAGTGTTTAATCCTGTTTAAGTTTGCAGTTGTCTCTAGATAATCAAAACCCACTCTTGTTTGCTTGAATTAAGAATCTGATCACATAGTTTAGTGTCTAACACCACATCTGGATTGATAAACCTCTTTGTGCTACTTTGACAAGGGGATTGATAGCCCTGAGACCCTAAAAAGTCTTGTCTATCACTTCTAATCATGATTAACATCACATCTTGCAAAGGATCAAGTGTGTTACTTATGATTAGTGAGTAAAACCCATTTAAGGTCTTAGATATGTAGGTTAGGGTGCTAAGATGTTAGGTTAGTGATCTTAGGGGTAAGATCTTGTATCATTCATGCTCTACAAACTGATCTCTATGCTAGATCCTTACACATCATTTGTGGTCTAGATCTTAGGCACTTTCATGCACCAAAAGTGTTTGTTAAAATGCCTGAACCAGGTTTGATAGAGGTTTAAGTGTATTTCATCTTGAGAATGATAGTTTGATTACTTAAATGATATAGTAAACTGTTGCTTAATGCTTGTTAATTCATGTTTCACAAATGATGATTTGGTTAGGAACTGTTTTAGCATAGAAGTTAATACCTTCATGAGAGGATTAGCTTGTTTAATGATGTTTATGTTAAATGAATTGCTTGATCATTTGATTCATTAGTTCACTTGTTTAGCATTGAAGCGCCTTAATCAACTATCATGTCTAAGGCCTTTCTCTCATCCATTCATATCATCTCACTCTTGTTTAGTTGTTATAGTTTGCTTTGTTCATTTGATCATTAGTCTTTTTCTAGCTTTAATCTTGTTTTAAGCATTAGTCACCAACAAACTTCACCAGTTTGCTTGAATTAAGAGATTGTCTTATAGTCTAGTGTCTACCAGACATTGGATGATAAACCCTTTATGCTGCAACAGCTAAGGGATCAATAACCCCATTTTAGAGCCTAAACACTCTAGTTATCAATTGGTGCCGTTGCCAAAGTGTGTAGCATTAGTCTAAGATCATTTCTTGAGATCAAGTGTTTATTTTTGTTTGCTAATTACTTTCAAGTTCTGTTTTTGGATTTCAGGTGCATGAACACTAGATCACGGTCTAGAAGTTGTGGACCACCGTTTCCTCTGAACGACAACATCAATCTCTTAGTGCCAAGAAGAAGAAGAGATCAACGTGCAAGGGAAACTGATCAGGCTGATATGGAGCGACAGAGACAAAATGTGGTTGACATTGAGCAGCAGGTTCAAGAGGAGCAACAAGAACAACACAGTAATGGAGCTGGTAATGGGTTGCAACAGGGTAATGTGCAGCAGAGTAATGTACAGCATCAGTAGGCTTATGTCCACCAGGGACAGGCTCAAGGCAATCCGCAGAGGCACCAGGCCAATGCGCAACAAAGACAACTGGTGCATCACCAAATGCCCTTCCCAAACCCATCCAGCCGTCATGAGCAACCACAAGTCTTTGTTGGTGAGAATGACAGGGCAAATGCGCACCAATATGGAGCTGGGATTAAGGCACCACCTGTTCAAAACAACAACTTTGAGGTGAAGGTCTCTTTCCTAAACATGGTTCAAAACTCAAAGTTCCATGGTTTGCCTATGGAGGATCCTTTGGAGCATTTGGATCAGTTTGACAAGGTGTGTGATCTGACTAAGATCAATGGCGTATCTGAGGACAGATTCAAGCTCAGATTGTTCCCTTTCAGTTTGGGAGACAAAGCACATCAATGGGAGAAGAATCTTCCAAGGGGCTCCAGTCAGACTTGGGAGCAGTGCAAGCAAGCGTTTCTGTCTAAGTTCTCCTCCACTTTAAGGACAGCAAAACTGAGAAACAAAATCTCCAGTTTCACACAACATAACAATGAAAGCTTTGGTGATGCTTGGGAGAGGTTTAGGAGCTACATAAACCAATGCCGTCATCATGGGTTTAGTGAGGCTTCAATTTTGAGCACACTATATAGAGGGGCTCTTCCCAAGATAAGGAATCAGCTAGATACTGCTTCAAATGGATATTTTCTTGGGAAAGAGATCAATGCTGCTATGGAGCTTGTAGAAAACCTGCTATGAGCAATGATACCTATGGAGAAGACTTTTATAGAGCCAACAGAAGTGAGGGTTCAAGGAAGGAACAAAGGTTTGAGAAGACCTTAGAGCGCTTGAAAGTAAGATGGACAAATTTTTAATGGCCACTCAAAAGCCAATGCACTTTGTAGGAGAGTTTGATGAGCCATCTCAAAGCTTTGAAAATATCAATGAAGAGGGTCTTACTAGAGAGGAACTTAACTACATTGGGAATCAGAGGTTCCAAAGGTATAACAATGCCAATACTAATCAGAACCTCTCTTATAGAAGCACTGATGGAGCTAATCCTCAAGTCCAAGTCTACCCTCCTAATCAAGCTCAGCAGAATTTTGTTCCCAAGAACAATTTCCAAGGGACTTTTCAACCTAAGAATCAGTATGGTCAGAATCAGAGTTATGGTAAGCACCAACAGCAACTGGTTCAGGGTTCAAGCTTCAGTTCACAGCCGCAGCAGACAAAGGCACCACCAGGGTTCTGTCAGCCACAGTTTCAGCAACAAGCACCGGTTCAGCATTAACAGTTTCAGCAGCCGCTGGTTCATAATCAGCAAATGGGACCAGATATGTGTGGGTTACTACAGCAGTTGCTATAGGGTCAACAAAGGATTGAGAGTCAGTATGCTTCTATGAAACAAGACATCAAATAATTAAAGCAAAATCAAGCTTCTATATCAAGGAACCAAGGCACACTACCTGGTAGACCTGGGCCAAACCCAAAGTAGTTTTGAAATGCTATAACTCTTAGAAGTGGAAAGGAGTTGCCAATGAGAGAGCCTACACAAGTGATCATTGAGGACAATGATCAAATTGGTGGGAAGACAGGCCTAAAGGATGATCAAGATGCTAAAAGTTCAAAGAAAGAGAAGGCCAAATAGGTGGAAAAGAAATCTGAACCAGAACAACCTTATGTTCCACCACCCCCTTATCAACCCAAGCTCCCATTTCAGGGAGATTCAAGAAGCAGCTTGTAGATAAGGAAAATGATGTCTTTGAGAAGACTCTCATTGAAACACCTCTCACATTGCCTCTCATTGATGCTTTTTTGATGATGCCTAAGCTTGGAAAGTTTCTAAAGGATGTTATCTTGAACAAAACCAAAGAGCTTCAAGGTATGGTGGTGCTTAGCCATGAGTGTAGTGCCATCATTCAGAGAAAGTCAATCCCAAGGAAGCTGTCTGATCCAGGGACCTTTATTCTCCCTTGTGCCATAGGACCATTGTTGTTTGCTGGCTGTCTTTGTGACTTGAAAGCATCTGTTAGCTTAATGCCCTTCTCAATAGCAAGGAAGCTTGGATATAGAGTGTTCAAACCTGCAAGAATTTCTCTTGTTCTATCTGATGATCAGTACAGTTACCTGTTGGGATGTTAGAAGACTTGCTGGTTAAGATAGGCGGTTTTGAAGTGCCTACAGATTTTGTGGTTCTTGAGATGGATGAAGAACCAGTTGTTCCTCTGATTTTGGGCAGGCCATTCTTGGCCACAGCAGGAGCAATCATAGATGTGAGAGGAGGTATCATTGAGCTTCAACTTGGTAAAGAAATGCTCAAGTTTGATATCAAGGACATGATGAAAAAGCCCACCTTAGAAAGCCAATGCTTCTATGTGGAGACCATGGATCAACTAGCTGATTAACTGCTTGAAGAGTTGAACACTGATAATCCTCTTCAAGTTGTTTTGACAAAAGAACAAGGAGAATATGCGTTCTTGGCTGAGGAAAGTGAAGGGTACAAGCTGTTTCTGGACCATACCAAGGAACTTGATTCAGAGAAAAAGTTTTTGGAGCTAGGAGCAAGTGGTCTAGAGGTTCTGGACATAAGAGGGTCAAACACAAGTCAGAGATCAGTTCAAAGATGCATGGCCGTGGGTTCACAAGCCGAGGAAAAGGCTAAGCCATGTAAGAGGATCAAAACAGATGGAGCCGCAGCTAATCAAGACAGCTTCCATGTGGATTGGGATGAGTCTAAAGCGCCCCCTGTTGAGCTCAAGCCTCTACCAACAGGGCTCAGGTATGCATTTCTTGGCTCTAACTTTTCTTACACTGTCATCATCAATGATAGGTTGTTAGATGAGCAAGAGCATGCATTGTTGAAAGAGCTTAGGAAGCATAGAAGGGAAATAGGCTACTCTTTAGAGGATATTCATGGCATATCACCATCTCTTTGCACACATAGAATTCATCTAGAAGAAGAGTCTATGTCCTCTATAGAGCATCAAATTGGTGAAAAGAGCTGCCTCAGCTGCCGTCGTACCTTGACGTCAGTACAGGTTTCACAGAGTAGAAAGGAAGCTGAGCTAGTTTTGGAGAACTCAAGTGATGAAGCTAGCTCATTGCACTTGATACCAAAAAGGAGAAGAAAAAAAAAAGGAAAGGGGGGGGGGGGGGGAATGGGGAAAAAAAATCGGTTGATCCCCTTTAAAGAAATGATCCCTCCCTTGGTAAGAAAAAGATTCTTTCCCCTCCGGATAAAGGTTGAAAACTGGAATAAGGGTCGATAAAGGCAGCTGGGGGTGAAAACTAACCCCGGGATTAGGATGGCCAAACCTTGATTAATCAAAACAAGCT